GCCAATGCCCGTTGTTTTGTGGTTTATGCACCTTATCTGGAGAGCTTATTTCTGAGTGAGGACTCACCTACTATCTTGCAATTGCTCATTGAGCTGCCTTTTTTTTTTTTTTTTTTTTTTTTAATATCTTATTATTATTTTAGAAAAATACTATCACAGACAGATAAATACACAGAAAAAGGCACTGCATTGTTAAGGCAGCTGTCAAATTGTAAGTGGAAGTCACTGTAACTTCAGTAAAAAGGGGAAAAAATCATCGTGGCTTCAGATTCTTTCCACCCTAGCCTCTTCTTTCATGCTACATTTCCCCTGCTTTGGCACCAGAGTTGTGTTCAAAGCTAAATTCTAGCTCCTCTAGCTGAAGAATTATCAAAAAAAAAAAAAAAAAAAAAAAAAAAAAAAAAAATCAAAGAAAAAAGAAAAATGCTCAGCTACATATTAGTTTCATTTTCTTCTGCTAGTCTGGCCATATCCAGTAGCACTTTTGTCAATATTGTATGCGCTCTGGCAAACAAAGGTCTAATTAAACAAAGCAGAAGTACTTCAGCCAGTTTAAAGCACCTGAAGTCAGAATTTAAAAGCAGCTAATCAAAAAAGAAACCAAGATCCTCCATACCCCACAGCCACACCCAAACCCATATTTATCTTCAGACAAGAGTTTCTCCAGGAATTCTTTCTGCTGTAAATTACTTGCTTGCTCATCTAGCGCTAAGGCCAGCAAAATATCCCTATTCTTCAACACAAGATACAGCATTGCTTTTCACTCAGTTATAATGCAGCCCTATGTCACAAAACCGAATTATTCCTATAACTGAGCCAGCCATACCACTGGTCTATTGTGAAGGGTGTTACTCCTCTTCCCTTCCACCCCCCAGTTTTGCCTTATAAATCTGCAAACATATCAAAGATCACTGAGTCACTTCGATGCATCACTAATAAAACTGATAACATTTGATTAGTGATAACAGAGCTCTCCCTCCCAGCTTACACAAATACTATAATGTAAATATGCAAGTAAAAATACTCATATTATTCCATTTTTAACTGCAATCGACTTACTGACAGATTACAGGAAGATCAACAAGGTACTGTATAACTGTGTGATTTTCCTTTCCCTTGACACAGTCAGCTGAGCGTAGGAAAACCACAAACAGGTTCAGCATACATGAGGTTTTTCAGCACGATAATGAAGTATCATGGCAACAAGGTAAATGTTAAAGTGGCCTTGCATCAGCTCCATTGTTTCTGCTGATCACGCTTTTCTGATTACTTGGTTTCTTAGCATCTTTAAACATGATTTAAAACACATAAATAAGCTCAATTTAATTCTCAGTGTGAGAATAAATCGCTGTCAAAATATGTTAGAGGTACAGAGAATATGCATACAGCATAGTCACTGAGATACTCTAAAGGCATACAATGCTTGGCACGTAAACAGCATTGAAACCTTTCATTAGTATATGGGAAATCCAATGCAGCCAGGATGCCTCTGTTTGTAACTAGTGCACATTCATGCCAGGAAGTTTTAGCCTTTTCCCTTTCCTCATAGAAAAGACCAGAAGACCAGACTTCTTTTGGGCACACTACTTCTGTTCACATAGAAATTGCCCAGTACTTACTAATATATTAACAGCTTTCTGCAAAAGGATGAGCAAGAACTTCAGAGTAACTACTCCGAATTTTCTCCCACATAATTGCTCTGAATGAAACACCTAAGGGAGAGATGCAATCCATGGCTTATATCCAGAAGAACTAATGATATTGCCAGCAATCTCTAATCTGCAGTTTAATTTAGTATTTGCTTATTACACAGAGTAAGATTCCACTTCTGAACAGTTTACAGAAAGGCCAAAATCACCTTCACCTATCACAGAAGAGATATCGTGAGACATGAATCACAGAATCACAGAATGGTTTGGATTGGAAGGGACCTGTAAGATCATCTAGTTCCAACCCCCTGCTACAGGCAGGGACACCTCCCTCTAAACCAGGCTGCTCAAAGCACCATCCATCCTGGCCTTGAATGCTTTCAGGCAGGGGGCATTCATAACCTCTCTGGGCAACCTGTTACAGTGTCTTTGAAGGCTCTGAGCATTACTTGACAGCTATATTTCGGCAGTATTAATCTTCTCTGGCTACCCAAGATGTAATTCAGCCAGTTTCCAGCCTTGCCCTCAACACTGCCACTGTGCTGTTTCTGTGATCCTCCAATACAGGAATCTGTGGAGCATGCCATGACACTCACTTTTAAAAATAAGGATGATCTGGTACCTAGCCATAAACTGCTGAGAGCTGTTCCACTTCTACAGCAGTGGCCTCAGCTGTTCAGTTTCCTCAGTGCTGAAAGACATCCAGCTAGAATTCCTTTTCATTCACTTACAGCAACCACTACAGTTTTCCTATTCCATTTATGCCTAACACTGTCCCTTTTAAATAATTTGATTACTTATATAAAAACAATATATAATTTTTGAGTAATAATAATAATTAATAGTTCCAAAAAGTGTATCAAAGCAACTACCTGCACTTATGTCTATGTCTTGTGTTCCTTCTTCTACTATCAATCCCAATTTGCAGATACCTGAATGTAAAAACTTTACTCTGTCTCCCAAGCTCATCAAAATCCCTTCACACACATTTACAAAACAGATGAATGACAAAGAATCATAGAGATAAATATTCAAAGCATTTGCTATGGATAATTAGCAAAGTGTGAATTTCTGATGGACACTTGCCAGAAGTGATGAAAGATATTTTGGATATGACTTCCAAATAAGCTTTAAAGTGTTTCAGGAGCTCAGGTGCCAGCAAGTTACAGTGAGATTTTACACTCCTGTATTTCCATTGTAGAATCTGTTTTACATGACTAAAAGCTTTTGGTTGCACTGTCAATACCTGTGAGACTACTGTGACCATGCAGCAAGCCACAAAGAACAAGGCTGGAAACATTGCTGACCCAGTTTCATACAGACCTCACATTCAGGAGCATCTAATATCTGCAATGCATAAAAATGTGTTTGAGAACCTATGGATGGAGTAACCCAGTCTAATGTGTGCTTGTATGCTGACCTTATGACACTATTTAGCAGATCTAGGGATTAAAATTCATCGTTGAGACAAGCTGCTTGAAATCCTGAGGACTTTGCCACATTTCCAGACCTCAACTGCCAGAGGTAGTAGCAACTGCATCTGCAACCTTCAGGGTACAACGTAAAAAGGATCTACTGCTTGAATTGGCTTTTAGGTAAGTCTCAGATACAAAGTCTCTTGAGCATTAAATGCTCTGTTTAAATCTTTTGACCCACTGCTCTTCCTCAATGAACAAAAATAAAAGTTTTGCATTGTTCTTGGGATGCATATATGAAATCTGATTTTTACCTTTTATTTATACAGAACTTTAGGAAAGGACTTATACATTAAAATTTCACTCAGTAGAATGAAGACAATGTTTTCCTTACTTTTTTGCACAAAATGGGGGGTGAGCATTACTTTTGGTAGTGGTAGTTGTTTGTTTCAGAAACAGTATGTAAATATTCCATTTATTTATTTTGCTTATTGCACCACTGTTTCAAACAAACAATGTTCAAGAAGATCCTGATTCTGCAATACTCAAGAGGATAAAAACAAACAAAAAAACCCAAAAAGTGAGAAGGTGCCAGCTCAGAAGTGCTGCCAGGTAACCCTTCACCTTTCTCACTACAGGCAAGAAAGAAGCATGCTGGGTTAGAGCTGTAGATCTGAATGCCTCAAGTTAAGCCTGTTTATAGGCAAAATCCTGCTTCCATAAAATGCAGTGACACACTGGAACAGATTTGCCAAGGAGGCTGTGGATGCCCCATCCCTGGAGGCATTCAAGGCCAGGCTGGATGAGGCTCTGGGCAGCCTGGTGTGCTGGTTGGCAACCCTGCACATAGCAGGGGGGTTAACTAGAAGATCACTGTGGTCCTTTTCAACCCAGGCCATTCTATGATTCTATGATCCTCTTTCGCTCTTGCTAGGCTCAACCTCATGCATCTTCTGGCACAGAGTGCATGCTGCAGGCAAGCAACCAGCCTCCTTGGTAGAGTACAGCTAGTACAAAGAAATTTCAAAGCAAGTAACATATATGCTTTAGTACAAGGATGTCACACATAGGTAAAAATTAAAGACACTTAGTCTATGAACTTGGAAGTAAACAACAGTTAAATAAGTACATTCAAATACGTAGATCAGTACTAGGTATGGAAAAGACACAAGAAGACCACCAGAAGAGTATTTTTTTTTTCTATAAGAGAACAGCAATTGCACATAAAACCTCAAAGTACACATTTTACATCCAAACACATGGCAATCTGCCACCACCGCATAGTGAACTATGCCGGTATTGGAAGTCATTATTTTCATGGCAGTACTAGCAGGTTATAATACACCAACTCCAACAGGGCAAGGAAAATTCACAGCACTTCCCTTCCAAAACTATAGCTCCTGACATCCAGGCTTCCTAACACACAAGCAGAAGAATGCTAAAGCATTTCTAGAGTAGAAAATGTTCACTGAGTATACAGAACATAACCTCTCTTATGAATTAATCCAGGAACATTTTGATGTCTAGACACATCATGCTCCACCATTAGCACTTTACAATGGAGACACAAGCTAGTAAGGACCTATTCACATGTTACAAAATTACAAAAGTGTACAGTCCAACTCATGAGCACTAACACCAAACACAAACTTCCAAATCTGCAAGTCATTTACCTGTGAATTACCATGGAGTGAATTGTTTGTCCTGTCTCACATTGTATTAACAGTAGCGGTCACAGTTCTTTCAATCTATCTCCTGTTTACCCAGGAAAACACAAACCAAGCAGAAATGAAAACAACTGACATCCGCCAACAGGAAGGAAGGAATCAAATACTGTCCTTATGGTGAAGATTTCCAAGACAACATCTAATTTGTTTGCTAATCCCAGCACTTACGCAGCCTCTGCTGCAAGAACTGACATGTGGGAAACACTAACCTTCATCACTTCAACCTGCAGATCTTCGTTGAGCGAAGGAGTCACTTTGACGGCATTCAGCATCTGATTAAGCAACTGTTTCTCATCCGAGTCTGTTTCCACGGATACAAACCTCTCATCAGACAGCAGCTTCTGTAGAGAGAAAATGGCAGTGCACAGATTGAACACAATACTGCCTCTGACTAATGCTGCCACTAACTACTATACCAAGCCTACTAATGTTGGTACTACAGTGGCTATGTTCCATATACAAAATTCAAAGTGATCCAGTAATATAAGGAAGTACAGCAAAAACTGGGAAACCCAAGCAGCAATGAAGGAAAAGTTCATATCTTTTGAACCTGCTGCCATTCCAGCAGTGTCTTTCCCACCCTGCCTTTGGAGCATCCATTATCAGCAACTGATGTGAGATCACAAACCATTCGAAATAATGCCTTCCATCCCTCCAAAACAAAGTGGGAACAAAAAATAAAAAAATCCCCAAATAGGTTAGTGCCCTGACCTCAAACTAGTGCTAGCAGATACCCTGCTCAGTGGGAGACAAAAGATTCAGCTGTCTTCTAATTCTGAAAGACACAGAACACAAGCACAGTGGACATAGCATTTCTGACCACTGACACGTTTAGTGTCATTCAAAAGCTGACTTATCACGAATGCTATCAAATCCTCAGAAGGAGAGAACTGCTAGCAAATGAGAGGCATAGGAACCATAGGAAATATGGTACCCAGGAATGGATTCAATTCAGACTGATTAAGCTTCAGGCTAAATATTTCAGACCAATCAGACTGGCTTTGTCTTGAAAAAAGTGCATCAGAGCCAGCATCTTCCAACAACTGGAGATGTGTGAGACTGAGGGAATCAACATGAAAAATATTAGTGGGACATGAAAGATTTTCACTAGGATTTTGTGAGAGTCTATTTTCATGCTTGAAAGTGGGACTGATAGATAGAAACACTTAACTGAGCTCTTCACGTTACATTCTCACTTCCTCGAGCTAACCATGTCCCATTTCAAGAAGATTTCAGTTATTTCACACTTCTCCCATAAAAATCAACAAGTTTCTAAAAATAACTGCCTCTCACATTCCGGCTTCAATTTATTCACAACCAGTTCATGCCCATAAGTTCTTTTTCTACCCAAATAAAACACTGTTTACTCTTGCTGTTTTCCCTAAAGGTTTGTGGGCTTTTTGTTGTTTTTGTTTAAAAACAAAGAAACAAAAAAATCAAACACCTCTGCTTTTGTTTACTGAACCTGAACAAACCAGGCTCTATCAGCATTCTACAACAATAGTGAAAATATTTCAAAGACCGTAACAGCTCCAAATTCTTTTTAATGCACTCTCATGAAGAACAAAAAATTTAATCAGAATCACATGTTAGGTAACACATTAAGGGGACGTAGCCATTGAAACAATTTCCTCAGGACTGTACTCTGAACTCCTCTTCTACATAGTCTAGAACCATTTCACTGGTACCTCCCGTTAGTGACAGCCTCTTGCAACAAATGCACTCAGGCAAATATCTTTCCAGAACTGTCTCTCCTAGATGATCCAACTGCAGAGAAAAACAACCTTGTCTTATTTTCCAGGAACAAAACGTTGCTCTGTCCCAGAACACTCATTCAATAGTCCACTTTACCTTGTACTTTCTGCATGACTTCTGTCCTTAAGCTCCCTCCCAGCTTCAAGTCTGTAGAAGTAGGAATGAAGTAGTCCTATTTTCTATGCTTATACTGTTTTTTGTATTCCTGGGATAGAGTTAATTTCCTTCATAGCAGACCACATGGTGTTGTGTATGGGGTTTGTCAGCAAAACAGCATTGATATAAATAATATGTAAACCAATGTTTTAGCAATTAATGAACAGTGCTTGAACAGCATCAAGGTCTTTTCTGTTTCTCATATTGCCCTGCCAGCGGGTAGGCTAGGAGTGCAGAAGAAGTTAGGAGGGAACACAGCTGATACAATTGATCGCAGCTGACCAAAGCAATATTCCCTACCATATGGTGTTGTGCTATGCAGGAAAAGCTGAAGGGAAAGAAGGAGAAAAGGAGCAGAGGAAAAAACTATGGCATTTATCTTCCCAAGTACTCTTAAGGCAAAGCTCAATTAGAGTAACTTTAAAGAAAATACATTTTTTTTTCCTAGATAAAGCCTCACACCACAATGTTGTGCCTCCATATGGATCACCTCCTCTAACAGTATGCCTGATATCTCATATGCAGAGTTAAGTGAATTTGTACTTACATCCTAACACTCCCCAAACAAATCTATGCTTACTCTTTGAGAGAGAAGCTTCTTATTGAAAAACAGTAGCAGGCATTTCACAATTCAGCAGTGTACCGGTTTCTTCCACAGCTAATCTCTCTCAAGTGGTAAGAATTTACTGATGCATAGCTATTTGTCCAATTAAAAGAAAGGTAAACTGTTTTAATTTTATACTGTCAAATACTATAGTGCCTTTTTATTTCTCATGCCTTGCTGTTGTTTTCGTCTGCAATTTCAAAAACATTCACATCCAGTGATATTGAAAAAAACATGGGAAAAAAACCCTGCAAATAGCTTCAGGATCTTTTATTAGCTTCTTCATCACTTCACTCTAGTTTCTAAGAAACTAAGCAGCTGTAAGGTAAGGCTTCCTGAAGACCACGCAGAGGGCAAAGAGCCACGTGAGGAAGACTACATCTCCATCTCATGTTGAAAGTCAGGAACTCCTACCTATGTGCAGAACATTTCAAGCTTCTACAGAATCAACAGCCTTCAATTGCACTCTAAATTCTGAATACTGTTACAGAAAAATGAATATCCACCAGAAGACAGACACATCTTCTGTAGCATTTTTTCAAAAGAAAAGCCTAAATTTCCTTGATGCCCACTACCTACTAATATAAACACCCCACTCTTAAGCCATACCTGCATCCCTGCAAGAGCCTGCTGGGCCAACTTCATGCTCTTCGATTCCAGAGCCAGTTGGAGAGGAAGGAGACACTTCTCCCTGAAGTAAGAATAAATAAGCAAATAAATGTGAATGGGAACAATGGAATTAAAAATAGTATTAAAAACAAACAAACAAAAACAACAATGTTCCAGAAGGTCTGTATCACTGTCCATAAGATAGTAGTTGCATACAAGGAGAGCTTCACAACAACTCCATGAGGCACTTTTCCCCTCTAAAGAAAGCTAGCACATGTCCTCATGTACTTTTAAGAATGACTTTTTTAAGTGATATTCCACAAAATACTTCTCAATTGTTAGCCTTCCGTGTGCATAAATGAATATGCAAAGCACAAAAAGAAGATTCACAGATCACTACTGATTCTTCATCTCAGCATTATAAGCATAAGTACTTCAGTCACTTGACTTCTATTTCATATTTAGACTGCCAGAAAAGTTGTTTCAGACCCAACCTCTTATTTGTGAAGCTTTGGTCTATGGCCTCCTTCACAGTACAGTGTGTCCTGCCATATTAGCAGCCCACAACCATAACCAGTGTAGACACAAGCAAATGGAGGAAAAAAAATAAATAATGGGGGATTCAGGTTGGACATTAGGAAATACTACTTCTCCAAGACTGTGGTCAGACACTGGAATGGGCTGCCAAGGGAGGTGGTGGTGTCACCATCCCTGGAGGTGCTCAAGAAATACTTAGATGTTGTACTGAGGAACATGGTTTAGTGAGAGATATTGGTGATAAGTGGATGGTCGGACTGGATGATCTTAGAGGTCTTTTCCAACCTTGGTGATTCTATGATTCTATGAAATGCCTACACATGAAATAGTATGTATGAGAACTATGATAAAACTGTACCCTGATTATAGAATAACACAAACTTTTGCATGTTAAAATAAACCAGTGACCCAGGTAGTAGTTTAGATGCTTTTGACTCAGTACTCAGACACTGGATTTTTCTTGTTTGGAGAGCAAACCAACGTTGCCTGGAGCTGTGATTGCTGCAACTTCTCTCTTTATTCCTTGTTCTACATCAGAGAGGATTTGCAGCATCTGGAGAACACTTAGCAACCATAAGCCCTTTCAAGCTAATCTTGCTCACTGGCAGGAAATACATTCCCAATAAGAGATACTGAGCCCATGTCTGACTGCAGTCTCCCTGAAGGTCTGCAACACTTCATTAGGTCACATATCATAAAGGCACTTATCTGTACCCACAGAGTCTAGTTTTGCACTTGTATAACAAGGTTTGCATATGGCAAACCATCCTGTGCCAGCCCTTGAGAGTCTTAGCTCTTCAAATGTCAGCATCATACCACAAAGACCCCCTTTGGAATCACCTGCATGAATTTTCCACTCTTAGAGACAGGTGTATAGTGGGCAAGAAGGAAAAGAAGATACCTAGTTGCCTGTTTTCTTGCCTAAATGCAAACTAAACAGTCCTGACCATCTGAAGCATGCTTCTGTTTTAAAATCTCAATGTATTCAAACTCACCCACCCTGGTCAAAACAGAGTCAGAATGTTTGGTCTCTGATCTGAACACCAAAATGAAGTGTTCTCCCTCATTTACTCTTCTTTCCTGTGAGCTGCCTTTGACCTGAATTCACTTAGTTTCAGTTGACCAAATGTTGAGTTATCTGTCAAAAAGTATATAAAATTAAAATTGATCAACTCTCTTACAATTCTTAAGGAACAAATTCTGATAAATTAAAACACACTATGCCACAGTGTATAATCTGCTTCTTTTGTAAGTTTTCCCTTCATAACTAACTAAGAAGTTCCAGGTTAGAGCAGTAATTGCTGCAATTTCAGACAATTGCCAAAGCTACCTAAAAATCATACCTTGCCATTGTCTGCCCATAACCTATTAATCTCCCTACAAAACTAGCAGTCTACAATCTGAAATTGCCTTTTTGTTTTGTTTTGATTAAATAAAGATGGGGTTACCAAACACTGGCTATTTCAGCTTTGGGGAACTCAGCTTGAAACTCCTCCAGCAGATCCTGTTTACAACAGAGACTGAAAACTCACTCTGAAAATCAACTTTATTGTGTGGTTCCAGTTAGTATTCCTTTCTTTCCCTCCACCTTGCCCCGAAAGGGACACAAATCACTAAGGCTACCCTTAAGGAGCACAGAAATGCTGTACGCTCCTTGAAACACAGCTCCCCCCTCTTTAACAACCAATTAAAGACTGGAGTCACAGGCATGGCTCAGTTAAGCAATCTAGTAAGCTTCTGTACTTGGCAAAGATCTCTTGAGACAAATCTGCAGTCTTTCTGTGTTTGTAAGTTCTTCCCAGTTATGGGAACTTGTAAAAGACCATCTGGCATAACACCAAAAGCAGCTTTTAAAATAATCCTCAATGGCACAGATTTCTAAAGAACTCTTGAGTAGACTCCGTGTGCATCTCAAAAGAGGTTTACAACAAAAAGGTAGTCAATTTGCTTCACTCAGAACACTCTGAGAAATGGGTAAGCACAAAGACCAATTTTCTCACAAAATCCTTTCTTGAATCCTTCTTGAATCACTTTAGCTAGAAAGACCATTTAAAAAACCATAAGTTTCACATCTAAAACAGCTAAAACTATTTCACATGTGGGAAACATCTCCTCAAGAGTTCACACAGAAACTTCAAAACATCTGATCCAGGGTTCAGACAGCAAACCTTCAGCCAGTACAGAACTGAGTATCACCAACACATCTATTGCCTGCTTTGCCCAGACTTGGGAATACAGGTAGCATGCAGGTAAATTGTGAGAAGTACTGCTATGGCATGTCTCTAAACCAGGAAGTCATCTCCAACACAAAACACATTCTAGTCTACTTTAAAATTCATCAGTATCAACCTCTGGGCAAACTCACATTTGAAATTAGTCGATTGATAGGTGCCAAAACATTAAATGCATTAAGTGGTATTCAAAGAGCCAGAAACACACCAAAAGAAATCTCAATAGTGTATAGTACCAACTGCAGAAATGCTAAAAATTAGCAGTTGCTCTGTCCTGAAGAGGTGCAGATCTAAATATCATATTTCTTTTAGACTTTCTACAGTTCACTGCAACAGTATTTAAATATTTGTGGGCATTACTAATGCACAACAAACTTCTTCTTGTATTAAAGTGGATGAGACTGGTAGTAGAGGAGGAAGTCAAGGCAGTCCTAAGTCACTGGACTGGATCCAGTTTAGTTTCATTATAATGAAGACAGGTGGGAGTTCCTATGGCTTACATGTAGCTACTCTGCACATCAGCATGTTGCCTGCCATCTGTCACCACACACTGTAATCAGCAGAGAACAACAAGAGCTGTTTCTTGAGATATTTCCCAAACTGAAGAGCAAAACATGACAAGCAGGGGGATGGAAATTAGAACAGATTCAATTAGCAGAACTTCTCATCCTTGCTAAAAATGTTTAATTGAAAAAAATCTAATTAAGGTAGCTGCAGCTACCTCTGTTCTCATTGTATTCTTCTAGAAAACAAACTGCACTGTCATTTCCTATTCTTGTTATACACTCTGTCTATAAAACATCAGCATTTCCATGCTATAGCAACAAAAAACCTGCAGAGATATCTCACAGTGTTTGATTAGCTTGACTATCTCCCACACTTCAGTTTGATCTGCTCTTTAAGTGCATCACTCGCTTGTATGAGAACACGGAAGGACAAGGAAGACAATCCTCAGAACAGAGATGATGACGTCAATAAACAGAGTTGCTCCTCATTAAAGTGTACCCTTTAAGAACTGGTTTCAATAAGGTTGTGCAAGGGATAATGTAAGCCATAATTCAGTCTCAGAATGCAATTAAGAAAGAGATTAAGGCTTCCCCTTACACCTTGCAACTGTCTTATAATTGCAGCCTGTTTTGAGTGGTCCCATGGTATCTTGTCATTGGATCACATTGCTTACTCCACTGTCTGCAGTACTGCATCAAGTTGACGATACATTCAGCTTGCATTGTGCTACACATGTAAGACACTTAATTTACATGAAGTTCTCAGAATAAACTAGTGCCCATTGATGGACTTCAAACTTTAAAATGTATACGTGTTTTCTGTTTATGTTACCGTGGAGAAACTAGTTTCACACTGGAACACCCAAATTTACTTACTGACACGCACAAGTGTGCATATATATATATATATATATGTATATATATGCACATACCATCTTAAATCTGAATGAGATGAGTCAGGTACGACACAGAGGGGGGTATGAACACAAAGGGGAACTTTCGATTATTCTTTATCTCTCAGATTACACATGTAAAGGATGTGGCAAGAGTTACTCCAGAAGAAGGGTTTGGAATAAGGATTCTTTCAAGACAAAGTAGTTGCACAGAAACAAAGCAGCTTTCCTAACCCAAATGTTCTCATTATAATCTGGTATAGCACATAAGCATAAGTTAGAATAGCATGAAGCCAGCCTCCTCCCTTGAAAACAAAGAGTGCCACCCACTGACTCTGAAGCCCAATAAATAAATAAGGGCTTCAAACACTAACTATTTGCACTGACAGATACTCCTTCACAAGAGACAGCAGCATTTTTAACCGTGGACCTTGCAACACGCAGAACAGAATAAGCAGAGAGATCCAAGGATGAAGATTCAGTCCTGCTCCTGCTTTGGCCATCTGGAGTTTTGCCACTAGACCTCCATGGTGTGGGACTGAATCTCAAGAGGCCTGCCCACGGTCAAGCAGGAAGGCTGTGACAAGAACAGGTGCGTAATCCACAACCAGTATCTGGAGAAGCACAGGTGGGTTCTGCTTGAGCTGCCCCACTCCACCACTGTCAGCTTCACAAACTGCAGAATGAGTCATGAGAACATAAATAGCCTTTACATTCAGTACACTGGGTTAAAATGACCTTTCTAAAAGTCTGAGTTTGCCATGGCTCATCAACCCACTTCTTTCCCTGCAGGTCTGTCACAAGGGATGATACAACAGGCCAGTCAAAACAGACTGCCAAAAAGGTCAGAACAAAACAGGTGCCTGTTTTAAATAAGAGATCATAAAAATCTTTTTATCCTCATTGTACTGGAAA